CACCGTCAGCTGCAGCGGGTCCTGGGCGTGTCCTGGTGCACAACAGTGCAGCCTCTCGTGGCCAGAGTGTACAGGCAGTAGGGCCGTCATAATAATGTCGTTTCAAACACTGGATACCATTTTTGAGGGAACAGGGAAACTTTGACCTCAACAAGAGCAGTAACAGCAAAGAAGAAGAAGTGTTGACTTTCAACTGTACCTTTGATTTAACAAAATCATTATTCAACATTAAGCTAAGAGATTTGATTCATTTTACAAATTATTCCAATAAAACACTAATAAACAAACACGATACCAACGCCTACATAATGTAATTATCACAGAAGAGCAAACACGTGACAGAGAGACGAGTCAGACGGGAAAAACTAGAGGAAACCAAAGTAGAGGAAGTGCATGTCAGCTGACGTGGACACAAATATGAGGACGACCAGCCCGTGAATCACAGCCTCTCGTGGGAGCAACGTGTGACTATATGACACGGCACCACACAGCGGGCGGTGCAGACCACACCAGAACCATCTATAGTGTACAGTATACTACAAAGCATTCATCTTCAGAGGTGCTGTTAGGATCCCAGAACATTTGAGCTCTTTTGTATTCGCTGGTTTTAACCCACTCGTGGAGCTTTTTCAGCATCGTGTGCAACAGCGTTTGCTGCCTGTGTGCAGCTACGCCCACTGCAGGGGGGGAGAGGGGCGCCAGAGTGCGTTCCCCACTTCCACCTCGTTAACATACAGCTATGTGTACCTTAGCTAGTGCACATCACATACAGGTGTAATAGAAAAGGGAACTTTACTGTGGGGCCAGTGGGCCACACAGTCAGCAGACTGGAGCTCAATCAAACAACAGTGGGACAGTGTGAGCTCAGGTGGAGCACTCAGCTGTACACATGGCAGCTAGTTTATTCACGGACTGGAATGTGAACAGGGTGATGGGCGAAACGCAGGAGCGTGTCGAGGTGTGCTTCAGGTGAAGCTGTGTGACCCGACTGAGGATGATCAGAGTTTATTCACTTTCCTTTGAAACCTCCATCGTTCTGTAGTCTGTATCCAACCTCGTGCAGCATTTTCAGGACGCCAGCTCAGCATGATGTAAGCTTTCTTTGGCAAAACGCAGGTTTAGACAATCGCTGATTGTCATTTACAGGAAACTGCTGTCTGCGCATCATTTAATGGCATCAACATGTTTACATTTCTAACAAACATTATTACGATGCTGGGAAAACAGCCTAATAAGTACGTTGCTATTACAATAACAATGTGGTCGTCTGGTATAGAGCAGAGCAGCGGCACATCTACCTGACAAAGTAGCTTTGGTGGGAGGCAGCAGGTGAGTGTGTGTGACTCAGTGATCAGGGACCATACACAGTACCCACCCTCCATCACATGTCACTCAGCCCAGCATCAAAAAGCCATGTGAACTACAGATGTGGGTCTGGGACTGGTATTAATCTGTAACACTGACATCACAAGAGAAAAGTCAGGCATAGCACTCATTAGGGTTATGACACATGTCAGGCTCACCAATGATGTTTTTCATCCCAATTCATAATTAAGCAGCTGAGGTCATCTCCCTGTAGCTCTAAATATGAACCACCGTGAGCTGCCATTCGTTTGACAGTCGACTGCTCACAGATTCGTTTTGTAATTACTCGACTAATCAGATCATCATCCATTGGACGTAAAACACAGCAGCATCTGCTCTCATATAACCATCATTAGCTTACAGCTTGAAGTGTTTCAGGTCTGTGCTAACTAACAATAAAGACATGATGATAGTTTATT